TGGCTGTGAATTAGTGTTTGTGTGCAGATTCGAGGCAAAGCACTGGATGTGAGTGCTGTGGCTGTGCTGCCAAAGACATACCAGACTACCAGACATGCTCTCAATGGCTGTATGGATGGCTGTATGGTTCGTATGGCTGTATGTCGAGAGAAACGATCGATTTTGACGCATTAATTGTGATCAGGAGCTCAGACTCAGTCAGGACATGCCATACACCACATACACCATAGACATAGACATGATAGATGGCTGTGAATTAGTGTTTGTGTGCAGATTCGAGGCAAAGCACTGGATGTGAGTGCTGTGGCTGTGCTGCCAAAGACATACCAGACTACCAGACATGCTCTCAATGGCTGTATGGATGGCTGTATGGATGGCTGTATGGATAGCTGTATGGTTCGTATGGCTGTATGTCGAGAGAAACGATCGATTTTGACGCATTAATTGTGATCAGGAGCTCAGACTCAGTCAGGACATGCCATACACCACATACACCATAGACATAGACATGATAGACACAACCAGTCACTCAACCCCTACAACACCCGACACACCGCCACCGCCACTCTCTCCCCACTCCTAACACTCACTCCTCTGCCCACTCTTTGCCAGACCTCTGCCGGCGTTGTCTTGTCTCTCGATTCTCTCGATTCTGGCGATTCTTTCGCTTATTATTATTATATAAGGAATTCAATCCATTGTTCTTATACTTCACTACAGCTGTGCTCCCATTAATCTATTGCCAGCTCTGCCGTTTGTGTCGTTTATTTCAGGTCTAACTTATCATTTGTATTGTCACTGACCGTACACTTCACTCACACTTCAATCAATTTCCAATCGCAAGGCATTAACACCGACTCCACTCCACTCATCCCAATCATCCCATTCATCCCAAACCATTTCATTAAATAATAATTATTATTATGATTATAGTATTGCCTTTCTATACACATAATAGCCCTCTTTCGGAAGGTTGGCCCTCAATGCCTAACAATTTCATACATTACTGTAATCTAAGATCTTTCAACAGTATTTGCATAGATTAACACTTTAGGCCAAAGTCAACACTCTATCTCTCAAATCATTAGAGCATTGAAAGTGAAATACTTTTTTATATTAAATACTTAATAATGTGCTCATATATAATAGTGTAGTCATACTCGCCGTACAATAACACCTGATTTAAAAGAGCCATCAATAAGAGGCAGACTTGTGAACCCTCAAAACACTTCATAACCTTATATTGAACATCAAAATTGAGCGCAAAAACCAAGAGTTAGAGATTAAAAAGATTAATAACATATCATAGTTGGGTTAGTAGTGTACGGCTATAACCACTCAATAGTTGTGTTGTTTATCATATAGTGTTAGGGAATTAAATCATGTAAAGCCGCGCCCATATATCCAATGCCGGCACCGACCGACACATCGATACCTTAAGACTTTGATGCCAAAAATATGTGAACTCACAGTACACTATGTATTGAATAATATTTTTTGCAAGAAAAGGATATATTTGTTGAAAAGATATTTAAGATGAGTGGAAGTAAAGCCTCCATAAAAGAGATAAAAATCAAAAATTCTTTTGTAATAAATTCTTGAATTGGAATCTCTAATGGAAAGAATTTGGAAATATATATATAATATCATATATACTGCAATAGTAATATATTATATACACTATATTAACGTTCACTTGTAATCAGTCACGCAAATGATTTTATTAGAAAAAGTATAATGATTTTAATATTATATAATATATCACTATATCATGTATTAGAAGCTAACGATTCTGTTAAAAAACTCGACTCACGTTAGCTTTTCTTTGAACAGAGAATAAACACAATATAGAAATCTGTAGAGAATAATCCTCTCTCTCTCTCTCTCTCTCTCTCTCTCTCTCTCTCACAAGTCTTGAAAGAAAGACTTTATATTTTTTATTTTTGCTACAAAAATCAAAACAAAGCTGTCTCTCCATTAGCTCTCTCTCTCTCTCTCTCTCTCTCATCGTAAGTCTAACTATTGAATCATATTTTTCTTTATTTCGCATTCATTTATTCGATTGAATTTCTGACTGACATATAATAAGACATTCAGACAAATGTCGATAATATGTTATATTCTTATAAATGGCTTTTATCTCAAATGATTCAATGAACTCAAGCTTTTGATGGCATCAAAGACATCAAAGACTATTTGTTTTGTTTGAATTGTGAATTGTGTGACTCATTTCATCAGTCATTTGTTCAGTTAGTTATTAATCGAAATTCACTGCAATTTACAGAATAAATAAATAGTCGATTCATGTATAATAGTAGTCATAATAATAGTCATAATAGTTATGCACAAAGAATTTTATTTAACAAATAACTGAAAAGACATTATTTTTACAAATTGCAGCATAACTTATATTAATATAATATATATATATATATATTTATATAACTTATATTCAGATATCACATATAAATACATATAAATAAAAACTTTGAAACAAAAGATTTATTGTTAATATGAATAATAATTATTGTATTTTGAGTGATTTAGCAAATTGTTGGTCAAACAAAGTATTTAAGTCCAGTGACGACCAGAAACTTTTCAATAAATAACTCGGAGTCGAGTACAGCTATGTGTGCCGCACGACCTATCAGTGCGTTTGCATTACTGGCCAGAGAGTGATGGACGTCATAACGAATTAATTTAATACTAGATTTACTCATTAATGGATGCAATAAATTGTTAACCATTTCGCGATAGGCTATACCTAAAGGAAAGGGGGAAAGGGTGGACGACGGATGTCATCAAATATAAAGAATACAAAAATTAGGAACGAATACAAAGATTGAGTCGAAAAAGTGAAATATTGGAGAAACGCGTTTGAAGGCAAACACTGAGTCAACAAAATAAGTAACAAAAACTGTACAATAAAACAAAAAGCAATTAATTTTAATTATAACGCAAAGAAAAGTTGCACTTTTTGTCCATTAGTGTCCCTCTTATATAAGAAGTTATGGTCAGTCTATCGATAACTCCAACTCTTTATTCGTAATTCTGTTTAACTCAGATTTAACTCGAAATTTATGTTAACAATAAACTCTAAAAATTGTAAGTTTCGCAGAAATTTGTTTTGCACACAATTTTTCATGTCGTGGCAAACAATGAATAGGGAGAAAGTTTGGGGGAATTTCTCAAACATATAGAAAAAGAAAAACAAACAAATAGTGGAACTCCTACTCTAACGTAACTACTATTTATACGAACCATTAGGAGAGGTATCATTGAGTGAGGAATTGCAGAGTTCGATATGTGCTGAATGGATGGGCACGTAGTGATCCTGTGATGAACCGCATAACAGAATATTCTTGAAATACTCTAAACCAGATTCTTGGCTCAATCGATACAGATATGTCTGTCTCGGATCACTCGAGTCTTTCATAGCCAACTGCAACAGCGATCCAGACTTCTTCCACTTCTGCATAAACCACAGACCTATACATACATTACATTCAATATATTCTGTTAGTATTAAAGGGTATTAAAATTGTTTCAATAATGTATAACGCTTTACAACCAAATGCTACTAAATATTATATATTGTACTGTGTTGTACCATACAATACCACATATCAATAATGTCAACAAATTCGCCATAACATTTTTACTTTACTTTACTATACTGACTATCATCCAAATGAGAGCATTAGTGATATTGAAAATAAACCAAAAATTCCATAAAACGTTATGTAAACACAAATTCGGTAATGCTTTACATAAATAAAAAACTTTATATAAGTCCCAGAATTTTATATACATTTAAATGTAATAACAATCAATAATAAATTAGAATTAAACAATAATATATTGGCTCATTTATAATTAAAAATAAATGTAAAATGAATTAATATCTTGTTATAAATATTGCTTAACATTATGCAATTTATACGAATTATTACCACTAAAATATATTTTTAAAACATGTATAATAAAACAGTAATTACTATAAATTAGAGTAATTTTTCATATAAAATATGCACACATTCTGTGAATCTATGATTATATTTGAAAGTAATTATTTGAACAGAGATTTTACATTCACTCCATAGACACAAACATTCTTCAGATTAAATGTTGTTTACGAATGAGTTATAAAACTATTTTATTTGATTTCAATACAAGCGTTGGCAATGAAGTAAAACATATGAAGTACTGGAGAGAGAGAGAGAGAGAGAATTCGTTGTTTTTGCACTAGTATTGCACGTTTGGGTACAAAGTATATAAAGATATTATATNATACTGTTGAAAGATCTTAGATTACAGTAATGTATGAAATTGTTAGGCATTGAGGGCCAACCTTCCGAAAGAGAGAGAGAGAGAGAGAGAGAGAAGCAGTACTTAAAATAAAATGAAAGCACAATTAAATTAGAAAATTAATTGCATTTTTATTTTATGTTTCTCTGCGAGAAATACATTAGATTTGCGACAATAATGAAAATAATTAGAGAGATACTATAATTTATGGATTTATGTTGCATAAAACGCTTACCCATATTGACGAGTCCACTATTATTGTAGGCCAGACCCAAATGCGGTCCACTCAGCGATAGGAAAGTGTGGAGTTTGTCTTTCCAGCGCTCAATGAAGTCATGTTTTCTGGTTAGCGCCGCACGGATTATGATATTTCCCAACGAATGACCGATAAAACTGTTAACACAATATCATTATTATTACCACATATATCGTTAAATTACCACTAAGTTATAGGCCAGGGATGGCAATGAAAAATGCCTGGTATTCACTGGTAGGCGCTTATCATTTTATAGTCTATGTCTGGCCTTATGGGAACAGATGTTTTAGAAATATTCAATCAATAATATCTAATATATTTCGACTTTAAGTTTAAGTTATTTTTCCAGAAAAATATAGTAATAAAAGAAAAGAATTATTGAAAAATAAGACTTAAGTAAACATTGAGTAAAACATTTATATTGTATGAAAGTGTCAGTTCTTACTAAGAAAACAGTATTAAAAAGTAAAGAATATGTGAAAAGAATAGTGTATTTAAGAAATATATTACAGATGTTGTATTTTGGTATTAATTTATGTTTAGCATTGTGTCGATTGCAAAGTAAACCATTGACTGTTGGATATAAAAGACGTTTCGTTTGATTTAAGTAATCAATGCATTGTTTTATGAGAAAAGGCGATAAACAAACGAATAGAACATATGATCGAAGCAATGGAAAGCAATGGAAAGCAATGGAAAGCAATGGCAGGGAATGGAGTGTAAGTGAGCACTAAATCTCGATTATGACTGACTCTCAAGTTATTAGAATTTGTGTCAATCCTAACGAATAGAATATGACATTTGCAGCCAAACTATTATATAACAAAAAGATTATAACATAACACGAAAACTACTCGTTTTCCTGTGAAAGACATCATATAATGAGACACACAATCAGTTTGTTTTGTTAACTCTGGCTATTATATTGTGAAAATACACACATATTTATGATTATAAAGTCTTTTAATTTGGCTCTACTTTCACGCAAACGAGTTTACATAATGGCTATGACTAGAGCCAAACAAACAGTTTCTACTTATCTTTAATGCATTTTTCACCAAAAAATATAATGAAATAAAAGATTCAAATATATCATACCATACAATAGGGACAGTCGTTGAAAGTAAGAAATGGTTTATTCGCATAAATATTCAGTACAAAAAAATTATAAAGTATTAGCCGTTATAACAAACTATCACTCAGTGCTCACTACAGCTCACTCTCTATCGCTTTCATATAATTTGCTTTCATTTCTCTTTCAAGAATTCTTCACGTGTTTAAAGTCTATAATATAAATGCTTTAAGGAATTCAACTCAATATATAACTAACATATTCTTCTTTATATTAAATTTAATGTAATTTAATTTTTATACTCTAAACTACCTTTGATTGCATTTTATTTCCAACAAATTTTTTCTAAATATTTCAAAACTTATTCAATTAATGTTCGCCTCCTTTGGATGTACAGTATAATCTGTTGTAAAGCAATAATAATATCGTATAAATTAATATCTAGATTCTATAATATATATAATATGGAAATATACTGTACTTATAGAGTTGAGTGACAAACAAGAAATTCAAATGATTTTATTAATAAATTCTTTATACGAGTCTTTCATTTTTAAAATCAAATTTCATTCTTGTCTTTAATAATATAAGGGCTCAAGTGTTGGAACATTAGTGGCTATAAGTGCTCAACAAAATTTTCTTGAGATTTTTGATAAAAATATTAAAGCTTATAAAATTAAACAGTTTTATACTTATTTTTGACCTTATATTTATATAATAATTGGGATAATAAATCTAATATTATCAGTATAAAGATAACATAACAACAATTTTATTTTTAATAAACAAAATAAATCTCTATTTCTCCCTTTAATAATTTATAATATAAGGCATTTGATATTCAATTCAATAAAATTAAGTACCTTATCGCAAATATTGCAAAATATTATAAATATTTTCAATCCTGGTTGGAGTGAATTTCCTAACAAATTATTATGCTAGAATTGCAAATTTATCATATCAATATTTAATATTTTAATCTTAAATATTATCTTATATCAAATATATATTAAATTTTTTTGGAATGTGGATTTATGGCAGGTTCATAGAAATTTATAGCTTTTGACCTTGTTCATATTGGCTATCACAATAAGTATAGAATAAATTTATATTAATGTCTGATTTATTTATTTTCAAATGAATCTTATTTTTGTTGACTATACAAGTATATCCAAGTCACTTTTACGATACAATGAATGCAATATCGAAAAATTTTTAAAAACATTTCTATGCCTATGTAGAACATAATAAATAAAAATTTTCATAAATAAGAATTAGTTTAGGAGAAGTAAACATTTCCAAAAAAATATATAGCTATTTATTTGTTTAAACTCAAATATAAGATTTTGTTAATACCATAAATTTGTGCCAATAGTAAACAACGCCCTATTCTATGTCTATGTCTATGGGCTGTTTTCAATAGATAACCTTTATTTTTAGCTAAGAATTCCGTTCACGCATTGAATACCATTGAATTGCATTCATAACTCGCATCCCATACATAGTCCGCATCGTTTGTACTCAAAAATGTCACATTTTGTCCATAGATAGCCGGTAGACAATAGACATGACATTACTATAATAATAAATTGCAAGACATTGGGTTTGGAGAGAATTGCACACATGGACACAAATCATTAATAATAATAAAAAACGTGAAAATATTTAATATTTATTTTTTAACAATCAGTGGTTTTCTGGTTCAAATGAAAGCATAAAATGCTATAAAAAATATGTTTCCAAAGAATATAAAACACTTTCGTCGATAATTCCTAGATTTATGACATATAGTGTAGTAATATTGTACAGACGGTGCCGTATATGTTACGATTTTGAATGTCAATAAGTAATAAAATTCATATTTCTAACATTTTTATAAACATACGAAAATCGATACAAAAATAATAATAAGTGCAATGATTTTGTTATATGAAATGTTTTATCAAATTTTAAAACATATTATTTTGTTTGATGTTTAGTGAACTAAAAAACAAGAGAAAAAGCGCAGAATTCTTCAAATAATATTACTTAAGTCTCAATGTCTAGAAATTTAAATAAATCTTTTATGCAATCGGAAAACTAATATTTTGATAACAGTATGAATATGTTTGAATCGAATATATTATGATTAAATGCAAAAAAATAGTCATTTTTGTGTAAAAATAAAATTAAAATCAAAAAAAATATTTAAATAAAAGACATATTATTTTGGAGAAAGAGTGAGAATTTATGAGCAATTTATAACATATTACGCCAGAAATCCATAGCAATGAGTGTAAGGATAACAATAAATAAGTGCCATTCAAATGATTTCTTTTGGTATAATAGATGTGGATTCGCGCCGACAGTCATGAGTGAAAAGGCGATTGAATTAAACGGAACGGAATATAACTGATTTGAATTGCAATCAATGGGAAAAAGGAGTGAAGAGCTGCTCATGTCTTGTGGACCGCCAACGATGGCAGCAACAGATAATGCTTAGTCAAGCGGAATGGTAGCTCACATGCTAATACAGAATATACAGAATATACAGAATATACAGAATACACAGAATATACAGAATATACAGAATATACAGAATATACAGAATATACAGAATATACAGAATATACAGAATATACAGAATATACAGAATACAATACAATATTCAAATATATGGCAAAATCAAATGATACAAACAATACTCTACAGTGCAGTATACTGTATATAAAATGTTAGATATTTTATAGAAAGCGAATGGGAAAAAGGAGTGAAGAGCTGCTCATGTCTTGTGGACCGCCAACGATGGCAGCAACAGATAATGCTTAGTCAAGCGGAATGGTAGCTCACATGCTAATACAGAATATACAGAATATACAGAATACAATACAATATTCAAATATATGGCAAAATCAAATGATACAAACAATACTCTACAGTGCAGTATACTGTATATAAAATGTTAGATATTTTATAGAAAGCGGATGTACTGTTCAGGGCTTTTACACTGGTTTGTATGGATTGAGCGAAAATAAAGTACATATAAAATAAAATGAAAACTAAATTGCATTTCAGATGAAAAATATTGAAAAATAAGAGCAAAAGTCGAGAGAGTAATGAAGTTTGGAAATCAAATTGTTGTGCCGTTATGTCCGTCCAATACAAACACAAATACTTGAGGCAAGGGGTGTATGAGTGGAGCGAAAGTGTGATAAACATTGCCGTTATTTTGCGCTCAAATAAATAAGTTATAAACTGTGTATAAAGTGATACATTGAATAAATATAAAATGAATTAGAGTCACAAATATTGACAGAATATATTTATCAAAGGCATAGCGGGTGAGCATTGAATAACTTATTTTACAATAAGTAATGATTAACATGAATGAAATGATGCTCTTTTGCGCTCCACTAATCATAGGTCTCTACAACACTGCAAAGCACTTGGAGGCACAGACACACTGCCAGTCTATGCAGTCACTGGCACAGGGATGCGAGGCAACTATTTCAAGAATTTGGGTTTTTGTTGTAAATTATAATAAGCTATCATGAACTACTGTTAAAACACCATAAATTCATTCATAAATAAACTCAAACCAAATTGTTGTGAACTGAAAGTTTTACAACCTTTTGAACCATTGTTTTGTAAAACCTTAGCGAATCATATAATACATAATACACT